CATCTGCGAACAGGGACACTTCAGAGTCTATTCCTTCCATCATGTCGTTCACATATATCAAAAATAGCACTGGTCCTAGAACTGACCCCTGTGGGACCCCGCTCGTAACAGGCGCCCACTGTGATACCTCTTCACGTACCATGACTCGTTGTTGCCTCCCTGTCAGGTATTCCCTTATCCATTGCAGTGCCCTCCCTTTTACATGCGCCTGATCCTCCAGCTTCTGCACTAATCTCTTGTGGGGAACTGTGTCAAAGGCCTTCCTGCAGTCTAGGAAAACGCAATCTACCCACCCCTCTCTCTCGTGTCTTACTTCTGTTACCTTGTCATTAAACTCCAGGAGGTTTGTGATACAGGATTTGCCTTCCATGAACCCATGCTGGTTTTCATTTATAAACTTGTTCCTTTCCAGGTGTTCGACCACTCTCCTCCTGATAATCTTCTCCATGACTTTGCACACAATACATGTCAGAGACACAGGTCTATAGTTTAGTGCCTCGTTTCTGTTTCCTTTCTTAAATATGGGGACTACATTAGCTGTCTTCCATTTCTCAGGTAGTTGCCCAGTTTCAAGGGATGTGTTGAAGATTGTGGTTAGAGGCACGCACAGCATTTCTGCTCCTTCTCTAAGGACCCATGGGGAGATGTTGTCCGGTCACATCGCCTTTGAGGTGTCAAGGTCACTTAAGAGCTTCTTCACCTCCTCCTCAGTTGTTCGTATGTCATCCAACACTTGTTGGTATATTCCCTCTTGATGTTCCCTTCTTTGCTGTCTTCCCACAGCCCTTCCTGTCTCTACTGTAAAAACTTCCTTAAATCTCCTGTTCAGCTCCTCACATACCTCCTGATCATTTCTTGTGAGTTCTCCACCTTCTGTCCTTAATCTGATCACCTGGTCTTTGACTGTTGTCTTCCTCCTGATGTGGCTATACAACAGTTTTGGGTCAGTCTTGATTCTCGATGCTATGTCATTTTCATACTGTCGATGGGCCTCCCTCCTTACCTGTGCATACTCATTCCTGGCTCTGCGACTGATCTCCCTATTTTCGTGTGTTCTCTGCCTTCTGTACTTTTTCCATTCTCTATTGCACTTTGTTTTTGCCTCCTTACACCGTCGGGTAAACCAGGGGCTCGTTCTGGTCTTCCCGTTGTTACTGTTGCCCTTGGGAATTAACTTTTCCACTGCCTCCTTGCATTTTGTTGTTACATATTCCATCATTTCATTTACTGGCTTTCCTGCCAGTTCTCTGTCCCACTGGACCTCCCGCAGGAAGTTCTTCAACCCTATGTAGTCCCCTCTTTTATAGTCAGGCTTTTCCCATTCAACTCCTGTTATTCTCTCCACTTGCAGCCCTACTATGTATTCAAAGCACAGAACCACGTGGTCGCTAGCTCCTAGGGGACTCTCATACTTGATGTCCTCAATGTCTGAGCTGCCCAGGGTGAACACAAGGTCCAATCTTGCTGGTTCATCCTCCCCTCTCACTCTGGTAGTGTCCTTAACATGTTGGTGCATGAGGTTTTCCAGCACCACGTCCAACATCCTGGCTCTCCATGTTTCGGGACCCCCATGTGGCTCCAGGTTTTCCCAGTCGATCTCCCTGTGGTTGAAATCCCCCATAACCAGCAACTTTGCTCTGCTGGAATGAGCTCTTCTTGCCACCTCAGCAAGTGTGTCCACCATTGCTCTGTTGCTCTCTTCATATTCCTCTCTTGGCCTCCTGCAGTTCTGTGGTGGATTATACATCACTGCAATGACCACTTTGTGTACCCCAGACTGAAGTGTACCCGTCTCATCTCCCGTCTCATCTATCTGTGTGTGTGTGTGTGTGTGTGTGTGTGTATGAGGCTCAGGTTATACAGGCGAGAGGTATTTTTTAATACAGTAGGCCTTAAATGAGCATGTGTAATGTCACCAGTTTTATATGTTAATAAATGGTACAAAAAAAGGTAAAAGTGAGTGTTTATCGAAAGGTATGCGGAGAGAGAATCTGATAAGAAGTGTTACATGTCGAGGTTGCTCTTTGCCAATGACACAGTTCTTTTGGGAGATTCTGAATAGAAGTTACAAACGCTGGTGTTGGAGTCTGGTAGGTTGCTTCAGTCAAGGAAGTTAAACGTGAATGTAAGAAAGAGAAAGATTAGTAAAAGAAAAAATCTAGGCAGTAAAAGAGTGGATGTCACATTAGAGGAAGCCTTTATAGGAAAAAAAATGGTTAATGTATTTAGACATTTGTGAGTGAATGTCACCAGATGAGTATATGAAAGACGAGAGGAATCATAGAGAAGAGATAATAAAGGGTTAGTGTTAAGGCGTGTGTGAAAAGAATGAATTTTGTCAATGAAACCAGAGAGGGGAATCCCAGAGAACATTTAGACCAACACTTTTGCATGAACGTGAGACGTGGTCTTTGAATGTTACACCGAAATGGTGGGTGAAGGAAGTAGAGATGCAATGTTTGAGAGTAACGTGTGGTGTGAAAGTTAAATGATTGGGAGGGAAGGGGGTATAGAAGGAATAATTCAGAGAACAGAGAGAGAGGGGTAAATGAGATTATTTGGTGTCAGAAAAGATGGAACAGAATATCGTGTTTAAAATATTTAACCAATACAGGATACTCAGCAGTAGATTTGAGCTGGACAAATTTTGATTTAGGAAGGATATGGGAAGGTATTCTTTTTGGCAGTAGGGTTGTAGATGAACGGGGAAAAAAACTGAGGAGAGATTTTGGGTAGTCTTAAATATAGGTTAGACGGTTAGATGAGTGGGAGGGGGTGGTTGTGATTTTGGCCTATCTAACATGGGCTGGTAGGCCTACTGCAGTATATTATAAATGGTATACAATATCGACAAGTTGAGTAACACAATTACAACACTAGATATCTTTGCTGACGAAACTTTTCCCCTATAATGCAGACTTCATAAGTTGAATACAAAGATCATATATAATCCTAGACATAGACCAAGGGGATAAGTAGCTTAAGGTAATATATCAGTCAGCCTTGTGGGAAATAAACAGCTTGGAGATGGTCACTGGTGGAAGTGAGTCATACTAAACATTTCTTACCGGTAGAGTTGTTGAAGACATCTCTTGCATCAAAATGCCACGGTGTTGCTGCGTCAGACAAGGATATTATAAATGATCTACAATTCCGATAAGTCGTGAGTAAGACGTATATTCAACACTAGGTATCTGTTGCAGCTTCGTTAGTCGAATACAAATATGAATTACACTCCTAGAGACAAACAAACTAGAGAGGACATTGCATACTGCAATGTCTTCATTCTTGTGTTCTTATTTTCTGAAGATTCCCCCCTCGTTCACGGCGAGGAACGTAATATGCATCTTCCGCTTCGCTCCTGCGATTTTCGCTGGAGAGCGAAATTTTCCACTGTGATGCAAGCACATCGGGTGAAGATCAAACCTCTCAGAGAGCTGGATTGCAAACACAACGACACTTAACGTGAGATTCTCGATCCTGACACTCACTGAGGAAGACATCACCGCCGAGTATATCAGTGAGGAAGATGCAGACAAGATCATGGCGACTCCCGCTATGAAGAGAATCAAGAACAAGAAATGTGGAGTCATTCCACCACCACCTCTGAAGCCTGCGAAGACAATGTTCATCAGGAGGCTCGACCAGAATCTAACAAAATAACCAATAAGCCACCTTAAAGCCGAGATAGAAAGTCAGAACTCATGGGCCTCCGTCGATGAAATCACTAAGGTACCACACTCCTACCCATTGCTCGAAGTACCTTTTCAAGAGATGCATGGCATAACGGCCTACTCAAGATAGTTTTAGGATGTCCTACTACCACATTAGCCCCAGGGATATGGAGAAGGAATGCTATTACCACATCACACCATGCTGGATCTCCTTTGGCTACGAACTCTACGCAATAAAAAATTCCTAGTGAAGAAAAAACATTACTTCTTTGTGTGTGGCCAGGAACACCGCACCTTCAGAGACTGCAGACCAAAATTCTACTGTCATGCCTCAACGGCATTCTGGTTGTCAAGTGTCTTAAGAGGAAGAATGTAATCAATATGAAAAAAGAAGAAACAACTTCAAGAATACTACAAATGCAGCAATAATCCGAATCCAGGAAACACTCGGTAAATCCTGCAACTTACTCAAGAGCCTATCTTCACTACTACTGTACCTGTACTACAACTACTGCTACTACATCTTCTGTATCTTCAAATGACTCATCGTCAACCTTTAATGCTGGAACGTCTAAGAAGATATTCACCTGCAAAATCTTTGCTTATATACAAAATGCTGCTAACCAAGGAACCCTTAACGCAGCTTCCAGTGAACTATTCCTTCTCAGCAATCTCCCACCTCGAGATTATCAACATTAAGGTACTCATCTCAAAGTCAGCCAGGACAATCACTAGCATCGAGTCCACAACTACAATAACAACTGCAGCTACCTGCTGTATGTAACAAAAATGACTGACATAGAATACACTGAAGACGTAACAGTCATTAGTAATATTATGAACTACACTTGCACTAACTATGACCACCGCATGAACTCCCCTGAATTCTGTCAAGGATTACGAAACGTCACTGCGAGATTCAAGATATCCATGGTGATACCATCTCACAATTAAGGACGTAGTGTACATCTTCGTAACACGCTGTCCCATAGAAGGAATTTCACCGTTTCGCGCGAGCACCAAGACCTCAAACAAGAAAATCAACGGATCCATAGTCCAGCTCAGAAAGAAGAAAAAAAGACACGACTCTCAAGGGTCAAGATACACCTGTTGAGTCCTTTGTACCTACCTGCCGAGACAACGTTCTGACTGCTGATTGCAGTCATTCTGCGCTAAACTGCTGGGCCAAGCTTCTGGCCTTTTCTCTCCATCTCGAGATTCTCCAAAAATAAATTTGACCCTTCGCCTGTTCCCACTTCCATGCTCACCCTCGACAGGGTCTTTTCTGAACATATCCATTCCTCAATGAGAGTGTAAAAATCCAGTATGGATGAAGTGTGTAGGAAACTGTTAAGAAGGGTTAAAGGTAGTGTGTGGATGATGTTTTGACAGAATCTAACACTCTTACACGTGAAGACACATGTAAGTGTATTAGATCGGAGTGGGGGAAGACAATGTTCTTCGTATTTAGGAGCTGTTTAAGTGTGAGCAAGGTAACATCTACGAAGGGATTCAATAAGAGTAGTAGTAGTTTAAAATAAAATACTACCAAAATCTTGATTTAACTTGCAATATATTTGACTGTAGTACACATGATCATACACTTCTGCACGACACTACACTCTACACGCTCCTTTCAACTTTATTTTATTACAAATTTTCATGAATTGATATTATAAATGTTGAAATACTTTTTATTAAACTGGTACTTCAGATTTGCATATTGCACATGTTGACTCTCTCTTCCTCCGGCAGGGAGCATCCTCGAGTCTGGTGGTCAAGTTCGCAGACACAGAGAAAGAAAGGCAGTTGCGACGGATGCAACAAATGGCTGGAAACATGGGACTCCTCAACCCTTTCGTCTTTAACCAGTTCGGCGCCTATGGGGCCTACGCTCAAGTAAATGTCTCGGAGGTTAGTGGCGGATTAATTACCGTATTTTCCTGCATATAAGGCGCGCTTCTTCCCCTTCCCCCTTCCCTACCAAAAGTTTTTGAAAAAATCAGCCTGCGCTTTATATGCTCAAGATCAGAGTCAAGGGTTACGCTTTAGCAGTTGTTTACTAACGTTCCGTCACAACTGCTTCAAAACCGTCTTATTCGTTAGTGCGCCTTATATGTCGGAAAATATGATTACAAACAAAACAAGGAACGGGTGGGGAGGGGGGGAGCTGACCCCACTTACCTGAGAGTTTCAAGACTCGCCTCTCATGGGTTCAAAACCTTCACCCGTTCCTTGGTTTAATTAGTTGTGTTTTGCCATTGGCTTGGGCATCCAGGAGTGTGTGAGCGTATTAATTCAGAGTGGAGACGAGTGGGTTTTAAGACTTGACCTGCTGTTGGAGTGTAGGTATAGTAACGTCAAGGAGTTTCGGGGAAATTGGTTAGCCGAGTTTGAGTTCAAGAGGTGGGAAGTACAGTACCCGCACTCTGAAGGCAGGGTGGAGGTGGGAAGTACAGTACCCGCACTCTGAAAGCAGGGTGGAGGTGGGAAGTACAGTACCCGCACTCTGAAGGCAGGGTGGAGGTGGGAAGTACAGTACCCGCACTCTGAAGGCAGGGTGGAGGTGGGAAGTACAGTACCCGCACTCTGAAGGCAGGGTGGAGGTGGGAAGTACAGTACCCGCACTCTGAAGGAAAGGTGGAGGTGGGAAGTACAGTACCCGCACTCTGAAGGCAGGGTGGAGGTGGGAAGTACAGTACCCGCACTCTGAAGGCAGAGTGGAGGTGGGAAGTACAGTACCCGCACTCTGAAGGCAGAGTGGAGATGGGAAGTACAGTACCCGCACCCTGAAGGCAGGGTGGAGGTGAGAAGTACAGTACCCGCACTCTGAAGGCAGAGTGGAGGTGGGAAGTACAGTACCCGCACTCTGAAGGCAGAGTGGGGATGGGAAGTACAGTACCCGCACTCTGAAGGCAGGGTGGAGGTGGGAAGTACAGTACCCGCACTCTGAAGGCAAAGTGGAGGTGGGAAGTACAGTACCCGCACTCTGAAGGCAGAGTGGAGGTGGGAAGTACAGTACCCGCACTCTGAAGGCAGGGTGGAGGTGGGAAGTACAGTACCCGCACTCTGAAGGCAGAGTGGAGATGGGAAGTACAGTACCCGCACTCTGAAGGCAGGGTGGAGGTGGGAAGTACAGTACCCGCACCCTGAAGGCAGGGTGGAGTTGGGAAGTACAGTACCCGCACTCTGAAGGCAGAGTGGAGATGGGAAGTACAGTACCCGCACTCTGAAGGCAGTGTGGAGGTGGGAAGTACAGTACCCGCACCCTGAAGGCAGGGTGGAGTTGGGAAGTACAGTACCCGCACTCTGAAGGCAGAGTGGAGGTGAGAAGTACAGTACCCGCACTCTGAAGGCAGGGTGGAGGTGAGAAGTACAATACCCGCACTCTGAAGGCAGGGTGGAGGTGAGAAGTACAATACCCGCACTCTGAAGGCAGGGTGGAGGTGGGAAGTACAGTACTCGCACCCTGAAGGTAGGGTGGAGGTGGGAAGTACAGTACCCGCACTCTGAACGCAGGGTGGAGGTGAGAAGTACAGTACCTGCACTCTGAAGGCAGGGTGGAGGTGAGAAGTACAGTACCTGCACTCTGAAGGCAGGGTGGAGGTGGGAAGTACAGTACCCGCACTCTGAAGGCAGGGTGGAGGTGAGAAGTACAGTACCCGCACTCTGAAGGCAGGGTGGAGGTGAGAAGTACAGTACCTGCACTCTGAAGGCAGGGTGGAGGTGGGAAGTACAGTACCCGCACTCTGAAGGCAGGGTAGAGGTGAGAAGTACAGTACCCGCACTCTGAAGGCAGGGTGGAGGTGAGAAGTACAGTACCCGCACTCTGAAGGCAGGGTGGAGGTGAGAAGTACAGTACCCGCACTCTGAAGGCAGGGTGGAGGTGAGAATACAGTACCTGCACTCTGAAGGCAGGGTGGAGGTGGGAAGTACAGTACCCGCACTCTGAAGGCAGGGTGGAGGTGGGAAGTACAGTACCCTCACCCTGAAGGCAGGGTGGAGGTGAGAAGTACAGTACCCGCACTCTGAAGGCAGGGTGGAGGTGGGAAGTACAGTACCCGCACTCTGAAGGCAGGGTGGAGGTGGGAAGTACAGTACCCTCACCCTGAAGGCAGGGTGGAGTGAGAAGTACAGTACCCGCACTCTGAAGGCAGGGTGGAGGTGGGAAGTACAGTACCCGCACTCTGAAGGCAGGGTGGAGGTGAGAAGTACAGTACCCGCACTCTGAAGGCAGGGTGGAGGTGAGAAGTACAGTACCCGCACTCTGAAGGCAGGGTGGAGGTGGGAAGTACAGTACCCGCACTCTGAAGGCAGGGTGGAGGTGGGAAGTACAGTACCCGCACTCTGAAGGCAGGGTGGAGGTGGGAAGTACAGTACCGCACTCTGAAGGCAGGGTGGAGGTGGGAAGTACAGTACCCGCACTCTGAAGGCAGGGTGGAGGTGGGAAGTACAGTACCCGCACTCTGAAGGCAGGGTGGAGGTGGGAAGTACAGTACCCGCACTCTGAAGGCAGTGTGGAGGTGGGAAGTATAGTACCCGCACTCTGAAGGCAGGGTGGAGGTGGGAAGTACAGTACCCGCACTCTGAAGGCAGGGTGGAGGTATTAACCTTCGTAAGTGGTACCAACAAATTGGTTTAACAAGACACGTGAGCAGAGAATGTGACATATTTACCACACAAAGGTTCGGTCTTGGTACCTTGATCACTTCTGGCACACAGATGAAAATCTCTGTGTTAGAGAAGATCAAGATCCCAAGACCGAAACTTTTCCAATAAATATATCCCAGTATTTGCTCACATGTGATATATTTGGCAAGACAGCTGTTGGGTGAATGATGGAGAATATGTTTTCATTTCTTTGGGTCAAAGTAACTTGGTGGGAACGACCTGTGTGTGAACAAAAATAATTCAGAGTCGTAATTTATACTATAAAAAATCATAGCTTAAGTGCATATAAAACCGTAATTATTTCACTGAATTTGAAGAGTTGAATTATATAAGAAACTTGTCAACAAGCAGGACAAGTTGCTGACACTAGTTCAATCTTTTTATAAATCATCTAAATAGAGGAAATTTCTTAGATTTGTGATTGGAAGTCGACTACATAATGGATGTCACTTACAATGTATGCTGGATAATACAGATATATGTATAAAAGAGATATGCATGCTACGTTAAGTAACTTTATAGGGAAAACGTTTCTCCTACCAGAGAGTTTTTATCAGTTCATTTGGTTTCATAAAGTCAATAGTGGGCGAAACGTCAGAGCAAAGTTGATAAATAAGGCACTTGTGCAACACTTTAGTGGGAATCTTTATTCTGGAAACGTTTTCACAGTGAGTTCCTAAGTCCAATGTAAAGAAACTGTAGAAAATGAAGAGTCTAAGGCAATCAGTCCCTCAGGCTGGAGTCGATGTGATCAGTCCATCAGTTTTGATGGAAGTTTCTAATTTCTTAAACAAAATAGCTTTCTCCCACTGTAGTAGAGTGATCGAAAAAGTGGAAACATTTCACCGTCATTCATTCACTGTCTTACCAGCACGTTGACAATACTCTCCATAATGCAACATCCCTTCCTCCCCTTCCAAAAACCCTACTAAGTGCAGGCATTGTACTTCCCACCTCCAGGACCCAAGTCCGGGTAACCGGTTTCCCTGAATCCACTTATGTTACCTTGCTCACAGTCCAACAGCACGTCAAGTCATAAAACACCCCGTCTCCACTCACTCCGACGTTACGCACTCATGCAAGCTTGTTGAGTGTCAAAGCTACTATCACTCAAAACTTCTCTTGCCTCCCTCTCTTCCCTCAAACCTTTCCTGAGACAAACCCAACTCTCCCTATTCTTCTTCTTCTTCTTCTTCTTATAATTATTATTATTATTATTATTATTATTATTATTATTATTATTATTATTATTATTATTATTATATAATTACGGGAAAGCACTGTACCCGTGGGGGTTATACAGCATCTGGGAACCGGGAAGCCAACAGATTTGACTCGAGGAAGGGGAGGCTAGCCCTAGTTCCTCGCCTCAAGAACCCTCCACTAACACTAAGGTACATCTCCCTGAAGGAGAAGTGAATATTTAATCTGTTGTGAGAATACAAAACAAATTTCAGTCTGCATTAACTTACATTTTCACAAATTATTACAAATTTTGGTTTGGGTAATTGCGAGAAACCTCCTGAAATTATTAAGCAATTTGTTTATCTTCACAGATAGTTATGTTGCATAGTATCTGTTGTCATGTCTTGATTTTTTGATAATGTATTTTCAGTGTCAATAAATTATAATGAAAATAGTGCATTGTATATGATAAATAAATCGCTTGGAATTTCCTCTTATTTTTTTTTCTAGTATGTTAATGTACTCTTCAAACTTGGTCTTTGTAGTTAAGTAACATTGTAATGGCGTTCTTAGATTGTAAAGCTTTACAAATGTACTTTTGTTAAGAAGACCCAGTGTGTAGTTTACAGTTTTATAAACTACTCAGTATGTTGTTTACAGTTTTGTAAACGACTCACTGTACAGTTTACAACTTCGTTAAGCCCCAGTATACAGTTTACGGCAGTTAGTGAGAAGTTTCCTCCACCGTAATCCTCATACTGTGTCTTACACACTTGTCAACATATTTCATCATTGTTATACATATATAACCTTTTACCTAATTCCTGTAAACAAGAACTGAATACAGTATTTACGTACATTTGTCAACAGCAGCAGTTCATGCAGCAGCAGGCAGCATTGATGGCAGCTGCCTCACAGGGTACCTACATCAACCCCATGGCAGCCCTGGCTACCCAGATGCCCCATGCTGCTGCCCCCTTGGCCAATGGCATCACCAGTCCAGTTGTCCCACCCACTTCTGGTAAGATCGGCGATGTTCATTTTCTATTTAGTTCTGTTTTTGGTGCTGTTGATGGCTGTTGATGGCTGTTGACTGGTTCTTCTCAATGTCAGATTTTATTATGGCTCTAGGGATGGTCTTGTTGGATAGTCGTTGAGCTTGTGTGCGGTCATCACCTTTGATGAGTTAGCTGTCTGTATGTGGTAGTTAGTGTGCATGTCCATGGTCATTCATCTCTCAACTCTTCATAGGTGTGAGGGGCTAAGCTCTAGCCTTGATAATTATATATTGAGAGGGAGGGGAGGAAATATTTCCCTGATTAATAATAGAATGGATCCTGATACCTATCGTAGAACTGAATTTCACAATGCATAAAAATATATTCATTATACATACATTGCAACGGTACAGTAATTCAAAACAACAGTCGTTGATTATAACAAAGTCACGATTTGCAAAATAAGCTTTTATTGGGAGAACATTTTGCTCTAAGAGATTTATTGTTGTAGGTAACGCAAAATGTTGCTTCAGTGAAATATTTCTCTGTAACAAGATATTAAAAGCAGCAGTCACGGTGATCACTTAACACGGGACTCTTGACTGGTGCTCATCGCATGTCAAACATCATGATGCTATGATGAGCGATCTCCGAGGTATTATATATATATATATATATATATATATATATATATATATATATATATATATATATATATATATATATATATATATATATATATGCAATAAGGTCACCGTAAATAGGTGATATCACAACATGCAAGACAACCGCTGTGAAAAATTGTGAAATTCGAAGCGTTTTCGTGATGTCTTTTATGTTCTAGTCTTAAATTGTATGGTCGAAGACCATTTCTTTGTCAGTTGGAAATACCCTAATTACAAAAAAGTGCTGAATTGTGTTAGGTGGAATCCAGTTCTGAATTATGTACAGTCAGGTCTCTTATGCAGCTCCTCTATATAGTGTGACTCTTTTTGTGGGAACGCGAGTGAAAAGGTGTAATCAAAATTGAGTAGCGAGTGGAAAGGCCTTCATAGTAGAGGTTCAGTTTTGAATCCATTTTCTCAATCTCATTTCGTAAAATATCATAGAATATCTTCATCGAGAAGTGGAGAAAAAACCTTCCTCCGTTAGCCATCCGTGTAATACAAGGCAACTAAAATGCCGAGAGCAAGGTGCTAGTAACCCCTTCTCTGTAAATTACTACATGTAAAAAAATAGCGCTTCCTCTTTTTAAGGTTCCCCTGCCTCAGTGGAAGATGGCTGATGTGTTAAAAAAATCACAAAATATAGAAGGGCTTTATAATTTTGGTATTCATGCCATCAATCAAAATAAGGGATCACACTCTCATGATAAAAACTGCTTTACCTGTGGCTCCTCACCTGAGATACCAGGTGAACAGCATCCCTACGACCTAGGATTAACCCTTGGCTGTGTTCAGTTGTACTCCTCTCTGCAGAGTCTTGTGGCCTGTAAAACTTAAAGTAGAAGCTTATTATTTTAATGAAAATCATTTAGTCCATTAGCAAAAGTAACCTGTGCCACCTTCTCAAAAATTATAAAAAAAAATTTGTGTCTAACTTAAAGAAAGGATGATTAGTGAAATCTAGATTTTTCTCAAAGCAGAATATTGGATGAAACTGTAACTTATTTGAGAGGCTGCAAATTTACTAGACAGTGAGTATACAGTTACTTTACTGTGGATGTGGAAATGTTACGTTGGAAAAGTATGAATGTGGATGAAATGAAGGTAGAAATGTTGATCTTAAGGGGAGGAAGACTGTGATAGTCTGGTGCACAGGCGAAACTTTGTCATAATAAAGTCTCTAGCTTCTGCAATTTGTGTGTGACACAATTATCCTCAAAGATTTGTTAAGTTATACCATGAATTAAGGAAAGATTCTAGACTTCACCTTACGAAACAAAGCAAATGCAATAGTAATTATGGACAAGGTAGATTATAGTGGAAAAATGAACATATTATTAGAAGACGGAGGAAGTTACGTGCCGCATAATGGCCCTTATATTGTGGATAGATTTTAAAGCAAGTAATGCAACCAACCACTGTGGCGAGTAAGGAAACGTATGGAATGGCGTGACAGGTAAATGTTACTGTGTACATTCAGTAATGGAAGTACTCTTCAGTAAATTTGTCTCTGTCAGAAAGAAGAGATGAAGGAATCTAGAGAATTTATTAAGGAGCTAAAATGAAGAGAAAGATATACATGAAGGAACTCGAGGGAGGTGGGGGGGGATCTGTTAGAAGTGAACACTCGAGGATGGAAAAGAGAGTGCAGCACCTGCACTCTGGCATAGAACAGTAAGGTGAAGTACCTGTACTCTAAAACCGATCAAGAATTTTGTGATTTTGCGAGTCTGGCGTGGTGGGGGGACTGTTTTTCCTGCCCCATTGGGAAAGGAAGCTACAGAGCGAGTGATGGTGAATGTGTTTCTTCCTTTAGGTCACCCTGTCTTCAGGAAAATGTGCAGCTTATAAAAAAATATTTCTAATAACTTTTCATAATAGATTTTTCTTATTTTATATATATATATATATATATATATATATATATATATATATATATATATATATATATATATATATATATATATTATTATATGTCGTGCCGAATATGTAAAACTGGTCAGTTAGCAAGAACTCATTTAAAATTAATTCCTTTCTGAAATTTTCTCTTATACGTTGTAAGATACATTTTTCTCATTAATGTTAATGTAAAAATTTTTAATTTTGCACCAAAAGAATCTTAGAAAACTTACCTAACCTTATTATAACAAGAGCAATTTATTTTAGCCTAACCCAACTAAATATATTTTAGATTTCTTTACAATAATTTAATATTAAACACAGTGAAATATATTTTTTTCGTTAGGTTCAGAATGATTTTGGCGAAATTATTGCATACACAAATTTTCACTTGTCTTATATGGCAAGATGAGCGTTGCTTTTTAAGCCAAGATCGCAAGTTCTGCCTATTCGGCACGACATATATATATATATATATATATATATATATATATATATATATATATATATATATATATATATATATATATATAATGAATATAAAGTCTTTGATAAATATTTGACAATATTTATGCTCTTAAATTCATTATTTGTGTCATGTTGTAATTTTCTCGTCTGACGAGATAGTTCTGATAGTGCGTCCTGGAGCTTCATGAAGCACAGCGTATAGCCACTGTAAGGCAGTCACTGTAAGACAGTCACTGTAAGATAGTCACTGTAAGATAGTCACTGTAAGACAGTCACTGTAAGACAGTCACTGTAAGACAGTCACTGTAAGATAGTCACTCTCTTGTAGCCCCTAAAACTCTCCTTGATGCTGCCCCCCCCCCTTCCACCCCATGTCCTTCTCTTCCCTGCCCTACCTCCATACCCCTCCCCCTACCTGCAACACCCTTCCTCACAGAAACTTCGTTCTGTGGTACAATGGGGCCAAAAAATAAGGCCGAGAGATGGGAAGGATGATTGGGAAGCAGAGCTCAAAAAATGGGAGGAAGACTGGGGAAGGAAGCTAGAAGAGCTTGGATGGAGGATAGAGGAGATGATAGCTGCAGAGAGAAGAAATTGGGAGCAACATGCCTTAGTAGCAGAATCCAAGATACAGTGCTTAGAAGAAGAACTGAGCAATCTGAAACAGCCTAAAGAAAGAAATAACAGTACAGACATAACATCAGGAACTTCTACATCAGACACAGGCAAGGAGACTGGATGGAGCAAGGAAGCTATACTGTATGCAAAGGAACGGTCAGACCCACACGGGGCCAAGGCAATGACCAGGAGCACACTAGGAACAAATGAGAGACATTGAAGGAGCTAGGATATATGCAGGGACTCTACCAGACTCCTGCAGGGGCCAGGAGCAGCTGAGCAGGAAAGACAGGCCAATGAGCAATGGAGCCTCAGCTAGGGAAAGGATTGAAAGAAGGAACACTCAAAGGGAAGGAACTAAAACACTTCAGAGGACGCAGTGGGAGACACAGTGGGAGGAAGAAAGTGAGAGATCAGTTTTTGTCCATGGGCTCCAGGAAGCCGATGGGGAAACTTACGAGGAAAGAAAACAGGAGGAAATAAAAGTGACTGAAGGTATCATGAAGGCAATAAGCGAGGGCAATATGACCCAGGTGGAAAATTTTCGGAGAATTGGGTGGTTCACAAGGAGAAGGAAGCTGCCTCTCAAAGTAATTTTCAAGGCAGAATCAACTAGAATCATGATCCTGCAGGAGAAAACACGGCTGAGAGACAAACTGGAATTCCAGAGTGTGTACCTCGACCGAGACAGAATGCAAGAGGAAAGGAGGATACTGAAAGAGAGAGTGCAAAAACGAAAGGAGGATTGGGAGGAAGAGACAAAGAGAAGCAGTATAACCAAGACACAGGTAGGAGGGCAAACACACCCCCTAGAAACACCCGCATAAGGAATCCAACCACGACAACCCCAAGACAACTGAACAATCTAAGCCACCAGTCACACACCGATCCCTCTGTCCCCACCCCCCACACCACAAACCCCAACCCTACAGCAACCCCCTATGGGAACTCTACCCCCTCCACAACCCCCCATAGGCCCCAGCCAGGGCTCCTGCTCTCCTCACCCAATATCCTCCCAGGACCACAGTTTTGGAACAGAAGTTGAAGGTTTGGTACATGAATTCTGATGGCATAACGAACAAATATGAGGAGTGGCATGAAAGAATCAATGAGAAGTCCCCAGACATAGCATTCACAGAAACAAAACTCATTGAGACAATAACAGATGCAGTCTTCCCACCAGGATATCAGATCCTGAGGAAAGACAGAAGGAGCAGAGGGGAAGGAGGGATAACACTGCTCGTAAAACACCAATGAAAATTTGAGAAAATGGGAGGCATGGACGAGATTGGAGGAAGAAATACATAGCAGGTACACTTCAGTCTGGGAAGCACAAAGTAGTTATTGCAGTGATGTATAATCCACCACTGAAC